TGTTGATTTGGCCTTATTTTTTATTTTTTATTTATTTTATTCACAATTCAAAAGTTTATAAAAAGGAACACAAGACAGCGAATAAAAACCATTAACAGATTTATGTATCGCTGCCATCAGATGCTATCAGGCGTCTAACAAATTAATTACTGACCAATACTTATACGTATCTAATAATTTACGCAACTTACACTTAAGAACTAATAACTTTAACAATTTGATAAATGAATTGACTTAAGGATCGTTTTACAATTTTTTGGTTTACCTATAAGTTTATCAAAAACGTCACTTGGCAATTTATTAAGTAGTAATGGTAACATGTATCTCCAGGCACGCTTTCCATAGTTGTTATTGTATGGAGAAAGAACATACCTTGGTAGGTAATTTAGATTACGCAATTTGCCGATTCTTGTCGTTTGTTTTAACATGTCAATTTTATCTATTTCATCACAAATTATGTATATATTTATTTTACTATGTCTAAGATTTTACAGTATCTAAACAAGTTGTTACAAACATTTCTATATTTATTTTTAACTGATATTGGCACAAAAGATTTTAGTAGCCTTATTTGTACTTTATAAATATCATCTAAGTATGTTTTATATGTTCTACCATAACTACTGAGCCCGTATCCAATTATTGAATCAGCCAGTGCGTTGTACAGCATTCTTAATGTTTTGTAAGGTAACTTTTGTTTCAGTAAGGATAGTTTTGACAAGACTGCTCTTAACTTCTTACATACATAGCTTATATGTATGTAAGACCTAGGGTTATTAGACCAGGGGTGCGATAACATGTTTGTAATTTGACATAGAAAAATAACGATTCTGAAAATTTATATAAAAATATAGTGGCAGAACCACACGTAATAACAAAACATCATGGATACACAATAGAGCTGCTCTAGAGTTTTTAAACAACAGTAGAAATAATCGGGCATGTGGTTGAAAGTTGATATAAGAAGTATGTACGCAGTCAATTTAAGCAAACATATGACCATGTATAATAAACACCTGCTAAAATTAACTAAGATTTTATTTGCATTTAATTCGTCGAGACGAGCAATTCCGACAGTTCAATTAAGTTTTAATTGCGTTTTAATACGCTAAAATTGAAGGCAGTTTTCGTGGTGGTCCTAATAAGATTTTAGATAGATCTTAATCGTAAGTAATAAGTAATGTAATAACTTTTACATTCTGATTTTAAACGTGTAAGAATTTTGAATTTATTTATAGAAGATTCACCACGCAGTAGAGCGAGTCATTTTTTTTTTAATTTTTCACAGATATGCTGGGAGATTTTTTGTTGACTTCTTGTTCTATCTTGCTCAACATGTTTATGTAACGCCTATATTTGATGTTTATTTCAAAATAAAAAATAAAATTTTTTAATCGTTCTTTAAAATACATAATTGTACTTCCCCTAAAATTAAAAAAGAAACGTCTTATCATTTATTTTTAAGGTGCTATTAAAGTTTCATTAAATCGTGGAATTTTGTGGTTTTATTGGCGATCATAGATCTTAACTACATATAGGTACATATATTTACTACATATTTAAAAAAAATATAAGTGTTATTTGTACAATCTGGATTTAAAAAAAATCTTTGTATTAGAAATAAACTAATGTAGTACACATTATTGACTTATTTACACATATAAAAGTAAATACCTAAACATACAAAGGTCACCTACAGTATGGAGCAGAGAGTTCTAAACAACCGATTTTTCCAAAACATGTCCAGTTCCACATCAGTCATAGCTTGATGACTGAATATAATAAATAGTACTAAACAGTTTTCAAATTTGATATTTATTGAATGATGGAAACTCGAAGGGAGTTTTGGCGTGGCGTAGAGTTCGATATATTTTAGGTTTTTTTTAAATTTATTTTATTATGATGCCAATTGACGTGACGAACAAGCCATGCGCCTGATGGTTGTCCATAATAGTGCAGTGCCATTCAGAGCATTGAATCGCAAAGATCTGAAAGGCACTGCCACTACGCCCGTCACCCTAAGGTATAAGTTGTCAAGTCCCTGTAGATTCGCCAGCACCCTTACGTTACAAAACCGGAACACAATAATGCTTACATTACTGTTTAGCGGCAGAAATAGGTAAGGTGGCAGTACTTCCCTGAATGAACTCTTTCACAAGGGGCTCTACTAATACACAACGTATTTATCGGTATTGTTACATATTCTAGGAAGAAGGAATATACATATTTAACATTCAAACATGTCGTACAATATTATAAATGTCGTGTTACGATTTACAACTTTCATGGATTCATAAAATCTTTGACAAACACATGGTCAATCAGTGTTGGACCAGTGTAATAACTAGAGGTCAGAATTGTTCAACTGTTTCAATGCTATCAAAACAAAAAAAAATTGCAAAGATTATTCAATTTTTCTTTACTTTCCTTCTTAGAAAATGGTAACAATTAAGTTAAATCGACCCTGAAACCATGGAAGAATGCACTAATGATAACAGATTTGACAAATTAAATAAAATTTACTTACCTGGCAAGTACGCTTCATGGCTGACTGAATATTAGTGGGTAAAGTTAACTACATCTTATTTCACCTCTTCGTTTGAAACTTAAGATGAAAGTTGAAAATATATTTGTCTTATAGACAAAAACTAACCTAAAAAAACCTACCTTTCAATTCCTCCGATGTGACGTCGTGATTTTCTTTGTTAGCCTGAATTTTCTCGATGAGGTGCTCCAGCCGGCTGCTGTTGCCTTTGAATAGCATTATCATATCGGCTATTCAGAGGCTTTGTAGCACGGTTAGGTGCGGTTTAGTGGCTCGTGGCCCACAACTCTCGCAGATTGCCGCAGGTGCATCAGTTCCAGTTTAATTCGGATTTTTTTGCGCTTGCGTTTACCGCGAGTGCGAATTAATGCGCGGCGCGTGTCCGACAGGTGCCACCGGGACCACTAATTGAAGGGGCGCCCGTCGCGAGCTGCCCTTCGTACGCTTCCTTCACGGCAATTATATGGGTGGCTGCTGACCATCGACTTTAATTAGCGACAATCATTTATGGCATGCACCTTTGTCTTCCGGCTACAGGTGGCTGTAATTGAAGGAGCGAGTTGGGAACTAGTTTCGGCGGATTGCCTTCGACGCGTCGAATACTCGTGAGACGTAGAGGTAAGACGGTACGCGCGCCCAGAGCGGCGAGTGCGGCACGACTGTGCTGGATGGTGGCGGCCGGTGGGCGAGTCGTGGCCTGCCGCGCGCGCCTCTCGCCGGCACCCTGCGCCCCGCCTAGAGCACCGCCCACAGCTCCACTCCCCCCACATCGGCACCCATACCATCTTTAAGCCTTTTATAGAACACTAACTACCAAACTATTACTTTCTGATCGACCGACCCAATACATTAATATCAAACACCAACAGATTTCAAGCAGTCTCTACATATTCATTGTTTACCTACCATGATCAGTCACGATAGTTTCTTATGTAAGACGTAGATACACTTTGATTTTTTTGAAAGTAGAATTATCCTTTCTAGAAACAAGAAGTAGAACACATCCCGTTTTAAGGTATTCTACCTACATAGATGTTGATACATGTTGTAGAGCAGTTTGAATGTATGGTAAACGTACCATCTAAAACAAATATAGCGAAGCAGTAATAAGAAATAATAATCTTTTGTTCATAAAAAATCTTTGTGGGGGTTCAACAAGTCTCAGGCGTAATCAATCGTGGCGTGATTGACGCGTTTTTACAATCAGAAACAAAACAAGCGCGGTATATGTGGCGTGAATAATCAAGCAGATGACAGGATGCTAAAAGCTTTTTAAATTTAGAGCATCAAGAAAATTCGGCTTGGATTTTCCTCGTTCCACCCACGCTGTGGGCGCGGCCAATGGGCGCCCAGACACCCTCCGCGCGCCGCTTACCGCCGCCTCCACTAAACTTCTACTAGCGAACTAAACACACTCAAACAGTTAGCTTCAGATTTTTTGTCTTACTACTCAGTTGTTGCGACGATTATTAAGTGTTATTTAACAATCTGCTTTGTTTGTGTTAATAATTTGTTGCATTCTAGAGACATTCATAAAAAAAAAAATGAAATGTGTACTTTTAAAATCAAGTCATCTAGAACGGGAAGTTAGTGGCAAAAGGAGGCAAAGCGGCTATGCTCGAATACTCGACAATTCCAAATGTTATTCATACCATTTTCCGTGGAAGCACGACCAGCTAACTATAAGATTTCGTGAGCACATAGAGTGCCGCACATGTCACATGCACATATAAACACATGAGGATTGAAAAATATGTATGAGCTCCTCTACGGGCAAACCGATTTTTTATTTTTGGCTGATTTCTTTGAAATTTATGTATAATTTGGCTTATAAAACTACATCAAATACTGAATGAATTAACATCAACATTGCTACACATATCTTTCGTCTTACTAATTATGATTTCATTCAAAGTTATGATAAGCGCATATGGTGAAATAACAGGCACATGAGACTTGCCAACTTATGTCTCAAGGTGACGGGCGCAGTGCCCCTCAGATCTTTGCGATTTAAAGCTATGAGTGGCACTGCAACTGTTATGGATAGGCGTGTAGCTTACCTTCAGGCGCACGACTTGTTCGTGCCGTTACTTGATATTATAAAAAAAGCGCTTTGAGCTGACTTAACACATTCACTTAGTTTTGTACTTAAACTAATTACTAGAATACTGGCATCGTAACGAAAAAAGGCACAACTATGCGTACTTTATACAGCAGATGTGCCTTTTTCGTTCTGAGGGCAGAATATATTTTCAATATAATATTCTCGTGGTGTGCTAAGTGAGTATAGTAATGATATTTATTGTTATATATAGCAAAAATTTAAGATGTTTTAGTAAAATATGTAGGTTAATATGAAGGCCACCCGATGTCCGTAGATCGGTCCTGTGGGGCAAATACGGTCCGGCCTTTTAGTTGTGAATATATTACACGGATTACCGCGACACCAACTGCTGTAATTTTGAGGATAAACTCGAGAAATATCTGCATTGGAATTGCACCCTAGCGATTAGTACCGCTTTGATACCGGGTACTTATCTATATAATTTATACTTAACAAAAAGTTTCCGTTCAAACAAATTAAACTATGCATTTTGTACTCTGTAAACTGGTTAAACATTAAAAAAAATACAAACAACGAAAAAAATTTGGGTATTGAAAATATTTAATTTTAACATTTTAACTCAAAAAAAAAACTTAGAGAAAGAAGAAAAATTTTACTATTAAAAGTTCAACTAAACCGCCTTTTGAAGACTTTTGTTTGAGAAATTTCATTTCAAACAAATTAATTATAAAATAAAATGACTAGCAAATAAATATTAACATGTTTAATATTACAACAAGGAACAAACGTCAAGGAATAGACTACCTCCGCAAAACTGACAGGCTATCTAGAATTCTTGCACGTTACCGTGCACTGTACAGTGTAAACTGAAACAATGTAGGTAACTCAAGAGTACAACACTCACATCAATGTGAAATGTATGCAATCAAATACATCTATTAGCGCAAAACGATCTACCTAGGGGAGCAGTAAATTGTCTGGCAAATTAATGAACATAAAAGATGCAAGAGACGTTGGGATTGACGTGGAGTTGTCGGGCGCCGGTGTTGCAGAAGGGTTGAGCGTTAATACTTAACAGCGACGGGCGACGGGGCGCCTCTGCCACCACCGATTAGACTGTCACTGCGAATCTCCAGTCCTGAATAAAGTATTAGGAAAAAGTGCTTCTTATCTTGGCCGGCCGGCCTCGACCGCAGCTCGTGATGAGGGTCGGGAATATTTTGCGCTCTTTTCTAAGTTTCTAAGCAAATTGTAACGCTTTCGTCTGATTTTATTTGCGTTAATAAAAATACCTACTTATTTTGCTTCATAGCCTCTTATTGTTCTGTATTGTTGTAATAATAACGCAAGCCTCAGTTCATCGGATTGATAAAGCACTACACACACTTTTTTCGGGACAATGTACTTAGAATTTGACATAGTTATTCCATTTATTGTTATTCCAACTGCTATAACCACGTACTAAGGTAATCGACATACATTACGATGAAGCTTTATTCCAAATTTCATCATATATCTAAGAACAATACTAGAATATACTCGTAATTAAGTTTATTGTATGTCAAAATGTTTCACTACCATGACATTGATTCTTTTATTTGTGAAATTAATCCCCTCTTCAAGCAGTTCTTGCACAAGAGTCTTTGTTCTACGGGTGCGTCGAAAAATTCCTTCGATCCTGCTGGGTTCGAACCGATGTCTTCTAGCAAACCGTGCCAGACGCTATGCCAACTAAGCCACGGCATATCATATGGCATAGCGTCGGCCATGGTTTGCTAGTAGACATTGGTTTGAACCCAGCAGGATCGAGGGAGTTTTTCGATGCATCCGTAAAACAAAGACTCTTGTGCAAGACTGCTTATTATCAGGACATAGCACATTTCGTTCGTTGTTCTTCGCTATGGATATCACATTGACCGTTATTCGATTTTATATTTCCGAAATGAAATAAGATATGAAAATTCTGAAAACACTTGTAGATAGGCCTTAGTTTGAATAACGAGATTATTTATCCTCTTTTCGCTGCATAACCACATCGGACTCTGTTCTTCGGATGAGTCGTTTTCCGGTGTTTGTTTTAATATAATATAACAATACTAAATTATATTTGCAAAACACTCCAAGAATCATTTATGGAATCTGCCAGTGTGTTCCAGAGCCCAAACTGCTTATTATTAATGCACTGATACGAGTGTGACACCGTGACGCTTGAAGACGCTAATGTTCACTGTTCAGTGAGATTCAACCCTTGATTTGGACTACGTGAAGCATGTTTCTGTACCGTCTCATTAAAGTTTCATCGCATTATAGTTTCATTGCTTGTTCCTACTTGGAAATGTTGTTTGCTTGATAGACAGATACTTGTGTGAGGAAATACGTTACATACAGAATGTAGCAAAATAGACAACTCCATTTCAGCTGGTGACCGTACTTGGTAACAAACAAATTTGGCAAAATAGCTGTTTTATTTTGATAAAAAGAATTCGACTAATCGTCATCATCAGATAACATTTTACCAGTTATTATTTAGTAGCAGTAGAGCTTCTTGTGAAAGAGTTCGTTCAGGAAAGTACTGCCATCTTACCTATTTCTGCCGTCAATAAATAATGTGAGCATTACTGCGTTTCGGTTTTGAAGGGTAAGGTGGTGGTAAAATTACAGCCACATGGGACTTTACAACTTATGAATTAGGGCGCAGTGGCAGCCCCTCAGAGATTTGCAATTTAAAGCACTGAGCGCACTACAACTGGTATGGACAGACGTGTCGCTTACCACCAGACGCACGATTTGCTCGTCCCGTCAGTTGGTATTATAAACAATCCGTCTCCTTCTTCTTGCAGGTGTCATCACGACATTTTTCTTCACTGATAGCGAGAGGTACAATAAACAGTTATAACGTCTATTACTTTTTTTGAAATAACATTGACAAAAATATTCCATTGATGTGCGTGACATTTTGTAACTAAAATTTGAGGTATTAGAAAATCAAAACTTTTTTTGAAAATTAAATCCATAAGATCACCAGCTGTTGTATCATTGGAATGTGTATTTTCTTTTTGTTTTTTTTAGTCGGGTGGATTTGATAAGTAGATACGTATATCACGATTATCATACATCGTCGTTAAAGATGCAAATTTTAAATCTCCTTCGATATTTAGAA